ACAAAGTGATGAGAGTTGCTCACACTGTAGAAGCATGAGTATGAATTATGTACAACTGTGGAAAAAATTCCCCAGACACTTATCAATATCTGGCATCTATTTGAGCATCATGTAGGTAAAGGGATTGGGATTTTAGCACCTATTAATTCATGATTTTTCTTTGAATTTGAAGAGTTTTCTATGTTGTTATTCAGATATTGTTTACAATACAGGTACTCCCTGACTTACGACGGGGTTAGGGACCGACATCCAGGTCGTAAGTCGAAATGGTCGTAAATCGGAAATGTTTAAATAACATAGAAAATAAAAAATTTGGGTCTTTTTCTTTTCAGCACCACAAAACACTCACTTTTAAGCTTGCCAACCATTTTAAAGTGAATTACAGATGAAAATTTTGTCTGTGTACTGACTTTAGGACTCAAAAATACAAAATTTTAACACATTTTGGTACGACTGAGGCGGTCGTAAGTGCGGGTGGACGTAAGCCGAGTCGGTCGTAAGTCGGGGACTACCTGTAAAATGAAATATAGAGTCCACAAAAGAAATATTGTACAGTGTATGACCTATAAGTAAATGCAAGATATAGAGCTAAATGTAAAAGAAATTTTGGCCACAACTCTACAAATAATCACAATGACAAAATTAACATACTGTATTGATTAAAACACCAAAACATAGTTTCCCACCTTCTTGTATGCAGTAAATAGGGCTGTAGGTCAAATTAATCATGAAAATAAGTCCCACACTAGGACTAGGAGCGAGCTCCAATCCTTATTGTGGTGCCTTGTCCAACTGCAGCCCAATTTACCAGTCACTATAATAAAGAGATGTTCAACTATTGAACTAAACAGCTGACTACTTCTGTATAATAAAATATGTTATGCTTCTCTTTATATATGAATGTGTTTAGCTTATATATTCTTGATGAGTACCGTATTCACACATCTGTAGTACTAAGAGGAATTCAGTATGAAATGCAAAGTTTGGCAAGTACAGTACTATGACTTCTATGAATGTTTATCTACTACAGGTCTCCCTCTCAATCAAAGTTTCCAATTCTCAGTTTCTCAATTGTGGGAAGTATTGTAATGTGAATGTGAGGAGTGTGGGAGTACCAGGACATTACTCCTCAAGAGTTTGTAATTAATATTTTAATAATAAGGATGATGTCAGTTTATAATAATGGCACCACCTACAAAACAATCACTTAATGGACATGCCAATTTTACTCTTTACTTCTATGTTTTGTTTTATGTTTCCTACCAGTTATGATGAAGGTTTTGGATTTACGGTTAAGATATTCTGTACATTTCATTTTTGTAAGAGTATCAAAGTCTGCTGAGCTCCAAGATCTTTTAATGCATGGTGCATAGGAATATGTGATCAGGGTTCCTCATGAAAAATTCCCATAAATTCAGATAAAAAATTAATTCCACCAGAATAATAGTCTGGAAGTTCTCATAAATTCTTATTATAAACACAATTCATCCAAATGAATCATGAGGGCCAGCATCCAGAAGACTAACCTCTTTATATTCAAGTTGTTGGTACTCCAGGAAAAATATAATTCAGTAATCCCTCACTAATCACAGGGGCTGATTAGGGGCTATGTTCTAAAATATATAGCCCATGGTTAAGAATAATTAAAGGTTGTATGCTCTATTTAAATAAGTTAAGGGTTTATGCCGTACTTAAAAAAAAAGGCTTACTATACTGCATAAAAATATTATACAGCACACTGTGCAGGTTCTATAAGAACTTGTACAAAATTATGAAAAAAAAAAAAAAAAAAAATTGATAGACCTGGTTCAGTGGTTGGTAAAACAGTGTACAGAGTAAAAAAAAATGTAGATACTCAAACTAAGGTTGGTATACCTGTGGCTGGCGAGGGATTAATGTAATATAAAACTCAATAATAATTACAGTAAGAAATACAAAGGTACAGTAAGCAGACATAACCTTTCAATTACATGTTTGTTCTGAGACAAACATGGAACTGGACAATACAGTAATGACAACATGGTGATCATAACAGCTCTTCATTCCCAATGAAAATAGACAAGCAATATACTGTATTCCAATATATTCTAACACAATCTCTAACTGTATGCCTCTATACAGTAATCACATTTACATTCATTGAGTAAAATTAATGCAAGAAAATCAACAGAACAATGAATGCAAAGACAAGTCATGTGTCTCTGATTCCCATACTCAAATAAGTCAATTAAACATATAAATTAATATGTCACAAATTCTATCTTTCTACTGAATTAATTCAGAAAGTATATTAATTTTTGTCTTTTATCATTAAATGATTCAAGAGATTAAATGTCAAAATTCAAGCCAAATTATGTAGAACATGTAAACTGGAATTAGTTTCCCAAAAACTCAAACACCTTCATTTCTTTCTAAAAAAGAACAATGTGCCTTCTTTCAAAACTATATACATTTCCACTTTAAAGTACAGTACTTTAAATTGTCTTATTCACTGATTCAGCATACAAATAGATAGCATATTGTCTTGTCCAGTAACAGCTACTGGTGTTACAGTAATTAAATATCTGTAGTATAATACATGTAATACTGTATTCACTAATATGGACATACAGTAAATTTATTGTACATGCACCTGTCAAACATGTGTATTGTATTTGATTAATGGTTATAATATAAACTTTACCATTGTGCTAAAATATAACATAATCTATAAAATTTAGCTTTACAAACATTAAAACATGCTAGGTTTGACTTCATCATTATATCTCAAAAGGCATATAGCAAATTTTGTCTCTTGTAAAGAATTAAGCTAAATGATAATTACTGAGTAGAAGCAGATGGTATAGTATCAAACTCCATCATTTTCCTTTTCATTTTGAAATGTCGTAGTTACTCTAAATCATACATCATCCCAGAGAGGAAACTATCTGTCATGGGTGGTTAACATGGATTACCCTCACACTGTAGGAAAAGGTGTCACAAGGCATAAGTGAATAGACTGTGTATATTGACTAAATCAATATTGTCTACAGTGTGTGTTAGCTTGGACTGTAATACTTTACCCCTTGGCTACTGTATGATCTAACATCTACTGTCATGTATGTGCCACCTTGCTCAGCAATATGATCAAACAATGAAACCTTCTGTACACCCAACACACTATACTAACTGTCTATATTCATCATGAATAACTTCCCCCACACTCACTGGCAAGGGAACATATGCTTTCACTTTGTCTGAAACCCACATTTGCAAACACAATCCAGAAGTCTATACTGCTAAAATAAATCCTCTGTGAGCTTCATAACAGTGCTGTAACTTATCCTGTATAATGGTATGCTCAGTATCTGTTCTTGTGATATTATGGTACAATAAGGAAAGAAAACAAGTTAAACCTAATACTGTACACACAGGCTTCATCACTATATAAAATACAGCAGGGGTTCTCAACCAGGGGGGAATTTCCCCCCCTCAGGTTTTCAGGGGGGGGGGGAAACTGATACAGGTTATACCTCTCTAGTCCGGCAACCTGGGGACCTGACCGGTGCCGGACCATGGAAATTCACCCTTTTCCTGGATAGATAGTGACTTGTGCTTATGCCTGGAAGCACTAGCACCACTTTCTCTGCGTCATGGTCTCTTTGAAGACATATTGAAGGGTTAAATGTCGTATAGGAGCTTCTCAAATTTCGCGAGTTTTTAATTCTTAACGTATTTTCTTGGAACACAAAAAAAAAAGAAATAAAAATTTTGACGGCGGAAACTTGAATTTCGACGGGTTTGAACGGCCCGCCAACGTGCAGACGACGTGCATAATCGTGTAAACAGTGTCATTTCTCTTATGTACAAAAGATTCATTATTGTTTATTACTGAATGTCTTTTTTATTGAATTAATGTTTATGTGTGCAAAATGAGCAATAAAATTCATTAATAATACGTAGAATATTAAAACACATGAGGAAATGACACAACATTGTTTTCGTTGATTACAAAACCAGTGACTGACTGGTTCTACATATAAAACTGAAGAAAATAAGACCTTGGTTGTAGCTGTAGTAAAATTAATATGGTTGTTTTAAGTAATGTTATTTAATGTTAATAAATGGAACAATAGAAGTAGCTAACGATAATGGTAAAGAAAAAAGAGAGATCGCATATGTAAGTGCGCATGCGCACACGTGAAAACATATCGTCATTACTTTACATAAGAATATGAAAGCAACACTTATTTACTGTTCATATATATTTTAATTAATGTTTCTGAATTTGTTTTTATTGAATTAATGTACGTGTGTGTAAAATTAACAATACAATTTATTAATAATACGTGGAATATTAGAGGAGACGAGACGGCTGCCGGCATTGTTTATGTTAAAGCTTACGAAACCAGTGACTGATTGGTTCTACATATAAAACTGAAGAAAATAAGACCCTGAGTTTAGCTGCAGTAAAATTAATGTAAAAAATGAATATGGTTGCTTGAAGTACCTGTAATGTTATTTAATGTTAATAAATGGAACAATATAAGTAGCTAACCACTTAATGGTAAAAAAAAAAAAGTGAGACTGCTCGTATGTAAGTGCGCACATATGAAAATTTATCGTCATTACTCTACATAAGAATATGAAAGCAACACTTATTTACTGCTCATATATATTGAAGGGTTAAATGTTGTACTCTGTATAGACAAGCAGAGAGAGAGAGTGCAGCCGAACTGCCGGATGTAAATAAACCTTAATTTCCCGCGGCTTTTTTTTTTTTAAGGGGATTAGCCCACCCGGGCATAGGTCACTGACCCACATTGGGGCCTGAGGGGCAAAAATTTAATACTCCTGTAATAATAATAATAATTCAGATAATAAAAAAAAAAAAAAAAAGAGCTGCCTATCTACCTATTGGACAAACTAAAATCGTTCCGGACCACGGGAGTTTCCGGACCACAGAATGCCGGACTAGAGAGGTACAACCTGTACTAATATGGAAAAAATAAAGGATTTTCAGTATTATATGCATATTATTTGGAATGCACTTTTTGAGGCAGACAATCTTGGAAAGGAGGGGGGAATGACATTCTGACATATGGTGAAAGGGGTGCATGGGGCAAACAAGGTTGAGAACCACTGAAATACAGGTTCCTTAAATAGGCCCTGGATTTTTTTCTTTATTATACAATAATATGTTAAGTTACTTTAGCAAATTGGATTGATTTTAGATGTACTACAGTTGTCTGGCATCATCAACCAAAATTCAACTCAGGTGCTAGGCATTCACACAATAAATGCCAATTGGAATTTATGTTCTAGTTAGCAAACTTTACAATTTATGCCACCTACAAAAATAAAATATTAAGATTGATTTACATATCAACACCTTCTACACACAGAAATTATCATCAAGGCAATTAAGAAGTGTAACACAATAATGCTCAATGGATCTGAGTGGGTTGGACTGCTTATCTTTGGACTTAAAATGTCTTTTCTACTGGAGGGCATATATTATGTACTGTACTTTGCACCTGCCTACCATCCCACACCAGGGATGATGAAAATACTCAAACATGCTGAGGTTACACAACACAGAAATATAATTCCACACTAATTAAAGTTCTAATTCTCATAATAAACTGACTTTGTGAGATGCACTACTCATATAATAAAAACACTAGCATGTTTCATCAACTGTGTCTTTCTCATAAAAACTCTGTTTTAACATTCATCACAACCAAACACACACACACCTACACCAGACAAAAACAGGTCAAAATTATATATCTGATAGAGAAATATTGAGAAGTTTAAGCTACCAATACTATGATGCTTCTTTTGTCACTACAGTATTCAGAATAAAAAAAATTCAACTAGATGCTTGATACTACAAGTACAATCCAAATGTACATATATCTTACTCTTCATGATATGCATAATTTTTAGTTCACCAATAAAGTGAAAAAAGTCTTCACTCAATCTAATCACCAGAAAAAACTAGAAGAAATCATTATTTTAATAAAAAATAAAAATAAATAAGAGAAATTATTGTCTAGTTTATAAATGTGAACAACCCTAACACACCATGACTGCCCACACTACTGGCCCACAGGGAATAGGTTCCACTAGAATACTCTCTCCCCAACACTAGCCAAGCCCATTTTCACTACTAGCTTCCTGACAGTGATTTCTGACGACACTCATCTGTATAGCCAGGGGTTCACCAAGTTGGAGCTGTCGTCTCTCTGCAAACTTGAGCAGCTGTTCTATAGTAATGGAACGAATGTCAACCTCCTCTTGTAGCCCCTGACGCTTCTGCAGTAGACCTACAAGCTCTCCTGAAGCCTCTGTAAGTTAATGCAATAATATCCATTTCTCAGTGTAAGTGGAAATGGTGTATCTCTTATCAAACATGACTATACTGTAACTGTAAGATTACTAAGGCTAAAAACACAATCAATTATGCCACACTAGACCCCACCATAAACCACTTTAACCAAAAAATGTGGGAAATCATTGAGAAGTAACAATATCTATCACAGGAAGGTGGACCAATAGATAGTCTCAGTGTTATATTTCTGTGAACTATTGGTTAGGGACAAATTAAGGAATATCCATGAAGACTACTGTACACACACACACACTCTCTCTCTCTCTCTCACACACACACACTCTCTCTCTCACACACACACACTCTCTCTCACACACACACAAACACACTTTCCCTCACACACACACACTCTCTCACACACACACACACTCTCTCTCTCTCTCTCTCACACACACACACTCTCTCTATCTCTCTCTCTCTCTCTCTCTCTACAGGTAAAAGAAATTACTCTCTCTAGAACGAATGGCTCCCTGTCCCGACAGCGAAAATGCTGGCAACTTTAAAACTACCCACAAACATTCTTGGGTACATCTAGGGTGTCATCCGTGAATAATTGAAAACCGCGAATTGTCAGGACATGCTGTGCAATACTGCATTACTAGGAACTGATTGTCAGTTTGAGCCATTCCCGTGGTCATGGACCAAAGTCACCCTTAAGAAAAACCTTTATTTGGATTGTCAGAGCTCAGAGAGTAGAATTTTTATGTTTTCCATAAAGTCTTGACCATTCTGAGTTGAATTCTGCAAGCTTTTTTTAATATTATTATTTTTTTTTAGGGGGGGGGGGAGCAGCATTGGTATGTCATTTAATTACAATAGCTTGCAGCGGCAAACAGTTTAAGAAAACTATGAAGGTTACAGGATGAAAATACTGTACACTCAAAAGTTTTTTCTTAAATATTCCCTACTGAAACGTGAGTGTTTCTTATATACCTGCACATCTTATAGGCCATAAAATACAGAATTTTTTTTTAAAAATACCAGTCCAAGAATACTCAAAGGAATGTAAAACTCTGAATTTTAGTATCTATACCTCAGCCAAAAACTTGCTTATGAAGAAGAATACAGAAACTTGAGAACAGACTTACCCTGCACAATGATTTCTAACTCCTTCTTCAACTGTTTCAGTGTGGGGAGTGGGAGGTTGGACACTGGAAGGAAACAAGAACTGTTTTGAAGAACTGGAAGACTTTTTCCCCTTCATGAAAATCAATGAAACTATTGAGTACATAATTGACTGACTGATCAATTGATATACAGTACTACTGGAAAGCTGTATCAGTAATGACTCACTGATTTTAAAGGTTATGTAAGAGCCTTCATTATGAGTTCAATGTTTGTCCAAGTTTAAGAAACAGGAGTTCCCAGTTAAAACCGGTGATGTTTGGTAGTGTCAGATTGAATACAATCTCTTTTCAAGTTCAAGTGAGTATCATATCCATGTTACAGTAGTGAGAGGAAATAATAACACAGCAAGTGCCATACCATGGATAAAGGATTAATCAGTGTGGAATACAATGCTCAATGAATGAATGAATCAATCAGCGTACCATCCTCATATCTGAGGGTTGGCGACAACAGTCCTTCACTCTAAACGTTCTCGGGATGTTTTTACCAATCCCCCAAGATTTTGCATCTCTCTGGGGACCCAGCATTTAATTTCATTCATCCATCCCAGTCTCTGCCTTCCCCTGGCCCTCCTACCCTCAACTTTGCCCATAATAAAGGGAATACTATATGGAGGCAGAAACTCACTGCTCTGGCCTAGACACATGCATCACACCCTGCTCCTTCCATGACACTTACATGCACATGATGCAAAGAGTTGTTAAAAAATACATTATCAAAAAGTTTTCAGGTACAGCTGGTTCCCTGTTAGCAGAGGAATGACATCAAGTGGACAAGTCCCAAAGATCCCTCCTGTTAGGGTGTATTACCTGAGGTGATAAACCTTGGAACAAGACCTAGTGAATAAAAGCCACTGCAGTGTGCAGGATTAACTCACACTACAGTGATGGGTAACATGAGTCACTACGGAAAGACCTATTTGCTTCTAATGCATATATAGGTAAGCTTTAAAATCCCCTGAAGAACTCCAATATGTTCAACTACCAAACATATGGGTCATATAATAGACCTGTTGACAAAAAAAAGTGCAGATGTAATGACTTGACAGGACCCGACAGGTGTGAAATTCCAACATGGAACTTCACTGATACTTCATGTTGGCCAACCTCCAGGCAACTGAAATATTTACATATTTGCCTAAGGCCAGATCCTACATCTGGTAAACAATAATCTTTTACAACATAGGCTGACATACGCACTGGAAAAGAATATGGTCAAAACACCAACTACCCGGTATGTTGGTCTTACAAACCAACTCACTGGCAACTTGGGCTGTTAAGCAAAGTAAACACTCTAGTAACACAAGTAATATCTCCGTTAGCCAGAATTAAAATTTTCTCAGAATAACGATTTTCCAAGGGGCAAAGTTTCCGGAAAATCCCGAGAACATTTTCCCAGTACAATACCCAGAGAATTCCAGGGATAAGAACATAAGAATGGAGGAAACTGCAGCGGGCCTATTGGCCCATACTGGGCAGTCCCGTTTACACCCAACCCCTATTGCTCATATAAGCATCCAACCTATGTTTGAAGCTATTCAGCGTATTCAAGTTAATGATGATATTTGGTAACTTGTTCCATTCATCCACTACTCTGCTTCCAAACCAGTGTTTACCTATTTCCCGCCTAAATCTAAATTTGTCTAATTTAAAACCATTGTTACGAGTTCGCTCCTGGTTGGATAGTTTGAGTACCTTTTTAATGTCCACTTTGTTTAGCCCTGCCTTCCACTTGTACACCTCTATCAGGTCGCCCCTCGCTCTACGTCTCTCGAGGGAGTGCAAATTAAGATGCTTTAACCTGTCTCTATACTCAAAGTTCCTAATGCCCGGGATTAGTCTTGTCATTCTCCTCTGAATTCTTTCCAAGGATTCTATATCCATTCTGTAATACGGTGACCAGAACTGAACTGCGTAATCCAGGTGTGGTCTCACAAGAGCAAGATACAGTTTTAGGATGACCTTGCTAGTCTTGTAACTAACACTCCTTTGTATGAACCCAAGTACTTTATTAGCCTTGTTACGAGCAAAAACACATTGTTTACTTGGCTTAAGGTTCCTACTTATCATTACTCCTAAATCTCTCTCGCAGTCGGATTTCTCTATGGCATCGTTGTTCATCTGGTATCTGGTTTCCCTGTTTACATCTCCTATACTGTGGGATTTAAAGAAAGCAAAAAACAATGTGAAGTTTAATGAAAGTCTGATTCTAATAGATGATTTTAACATAAAAGTTGGGAAAGGGAAAGAAGCACCAGAAGTAAGACCACATGGGGTGGGGTAATAGAGAAGAAATATTAATTGATTTATGTAACGAAAAGAAGACAATAATTGGAAATACTGTACATGATTTGAACAACACCCTAGGTATCTCTATACCTTACATGGATCTCAGCCCAGGACAATGTATATAACATTGTCAGATATTAAATAGACTACATTTTAATTCAGATATTCAAATACCTGAACCAAGACCTTTCCAGGGACAGATTGTAGGGCAGATCACGTCCCATTAATGAGTTTAGTGATGCTAAGACTTCAAAATTAAAAAGATAACTGTATAGACAAAATCAAATGGGATTTAAAGAAGCTCAAAACAGGTGCAAGCATAGAATATGAAATTGAAAACAAAAATATATTTTTAGTATTGCTAAAAGAGCACCAATTTAATAATCACAAAGAAAGTAATGTTAGCAACTGGATAAAAACTTATACTGTATGACATAAGGAGAATGAGGCTAAAAGTGGATGAAAAATGAAATTTTAAAGAAAATAAATAGACTAAGACATGGGAGAAAATGAAGTGGGGCTTACAAAAAAATTAACAAAGATATTAATAAGGATTGTAGACAGGCCAAGAAGATGACATGATACAAGATGACATGATACAAGACATAATTATACGGAAATGATTCCTTGGAACCATTTGGTTTGGGGCTCAGTTGATAACCCTTAATGTCCTTTACTTTGAGTGTCTGTTTCATTACCAGAAAGCAAGGGAAGCACATAAAGCTTGTAAATATATATTTTACCTGCAGTCCAGTTCATAAATAATTTTTATTTTCCAAAGGCAAACACCCAGTAATTATCAAGATGCTTGAAAAAAATAAATACAACACAGTTTTGATATTAAAATTAGAATTTCCTAATATTAAGGATCAAACTGAAAAAAAAATAAATATTTTGCAGACCATAAAAATGAGTAATTCTACAGCTAAATTTCAATAAATTCTCCTCACACATATTCAAAAGAAAAATTAAGTCTAAATGAAGTAAAGATTTTTAACTTACAATCATCTGTAGATCTTCTCCGCCACTCGACCATAAAGGAGCATTTGAAAGGTGGAGGTTTGTATGGGGCCGAGTGACTCACCCTGATGAGTACCTCCTGCTCCATGACTGTAACAATAACAATTACAATACTTTTAGTGGAGAGAATGGATGAAACTAATTGGGTGAAAAGATGCATGAGCCTAAATGTGGAGGGGTTGAGAGCCAGGGGTATGGGTATGGGTATGGCAGCAAGAGTAACATGGGGAGATGCTGTAAATAAATGACATACCAGTAAGAGTTAGGAACCTGACAAGAGCGACTACAAGAGACCATCAGCATGGAGAGAGGCCAGTAGGTAATCATGGCTAGCCAATGCAAGTGTGGAAAATGGCTATAAAACTATAATGATGATGATGATGAGTATCTCTTAGAATATATTTAGGATAAACTATTAATTTCTTTGAACTACAGTAAGTCCGTGCTTAACGTCATCCCGCTTAATGTTCTTTCGGTACTACGTCACTAAACTTGAGACCAAAAATTCGCTTAACATCCCGGTGATCCGATACTAAGTTGTTTTGCTTCGTCACAGACTACATTTTACGGTGCATCACCCGCTCTCGCCTGGGTGCGCTATGCTCTCTCGCTTTGGGTCAGAGTCTCAGTGACTCGCCACCCTCCACCTCCTCCTCTGCTCTCACCATACTCCTCCCCTCCCACCATCCACCTCCTCCTCCTCTGCTCCCACCATACTCCTCCCCTCCCACCATCCACCTCCTCCGCTCCACTACCCACCACACACTCGCTCTACCACCTCCGCACAATCGGCGAGCACCAATACAAACTTAGTAGTTGTATATGTATGCATTATTTTCTATAGCAATGGCAATGATTTTCTGTACTGTATATGTAATGTATTTCATGGGGCTCAGGAACATAACTCCCATATTTTATCTATTTCTTATGGGGAAAATTGATCCGCTTTATGTCGTTTCGCATAACGTCGCTTTTTTAGGAACGTAACCCCAAAGTTAAGCGAGGACTTACTTAGCTGTGAGTCAATTGTTGCATAGCTGAAAACATACCTAACCATATTTCTGTTGTGCATATAAACTTATCAATGTAAAACAGGCAACATTTACGAGAACCTAATAGAATCTGACCTAACCAACCAAAGAAACCTACCTAACCTTACGCAACTCCTAGCCGGGGGGGGGGGAGGGAGATCCCCTTCCCCGGTATATTGAACAGAAAGAACTGACCATGATATGGTGAAATTTGAGGCATGTTCTGGATGTGAGATGATACGGCCGCATCGGCGCTATGCAGTTGGCGGGTTAGTCGTATATATAAACCAAACATATTTTTAATATCCAAACAAAGACCAGTGCATAAGTAAAAAGTGACCGATTCATCTAAAACAGCAAGAAAACTAGCAAAAAAATATATTTTTCATGTGAAAAAAGGTGAGGTGTGGTTAACGAAAAATAACCTTTATATTTTTAACACGATTATTTACACTAGAAAAACCTATTTTCAATATTTAGTTGCCTGGTGTCATTTACTAAATATTGACCAAAAGTTGTCGTATAATTTTCATTACTTACTATCAAGAACTTCGGTGGAAGAAATTAACAAAATTGAACCTCTGGCGTTAGCCATCTGCTCCAGTAATACTAAGAGATGCCCTACATTAACTATACTAACTTCATCATGCATTTATTTCTTTCCCTGACACAGATAATGTCCTCGACAAAGGACAATTTTAAGCAACAATGGCACTTCGCCTCACACGCGTCACTTAATGTGGACTGTTTGTTACCTTCAGTTCCTTCCTTCTTCTCTGAGCGGCGAATGTGTGGCGGCACCTCAGCAGCAGCACACAGAGGAGCTGCGCCACACAGGAAGTGCTGGGAAAGACCTTGGAGGTGTTGGTGTCCTCGCCCCTGGCCACTGCTCCTCCCCGCCATCAGCTGCCCTTCTGAACACCGAAATTAAACCGAATTACTTAAACAACCGGAAGACCCAGGAAAAGGTAATTAAATCTTCCACAATAGAAAGACAAATTTCTTTGATGTTAACTATAAAATTATATACAAGTAAGAAATGTATCCTAAACACATGAATAGTATAGAAGTTCATTGAAGCGCTTCCTAATTTTTTTTACCTAGTCTGAGATGTTTTCGTGTTTCAGGACATGATCAGCTGTGTGTTGTTATGATCACTGTTGTCAGTTATTCTCACTACACGACATAATATTTAATGTTAGAAAAGTACCACGAATTAATCTAATTAATAGTTTTTGCATTCCCTGAAGACATGCGAATTGAATTTCAACTAACAATTCTAGGATATCGTGTACTATAAATAATAGGTTTGGTAGTTAACGTCGCCCGAAAAATGAGTGGGTGAACTGTATTATTCGTGGTATAAATGCAACATCAATAAAGTTGTTATTGCCAATCTACATTACCTATCCTTAAGGCTTATACAGCTATTATTTCCAGTCATATGGCTCTAGTTACATTAAGAAGCATTTCCACGGAAGGATAATTTGAAAAATCTGTAATATATCAATTTGATAACCAATATCGGAAATTACTGAACTCGTTATTTTAACTGTTTATAAGTTGTGGAAGCTGTTTGGAACTTTTGCTCTATATTAATAATTTTTAAATTATTAACGTATTCATTTCTTTTACACACACAGAAATATATAATTTCCTTATTATGGAGTCAGTTAGGCGATTGTTTGCTAACTACTTATAATCGGAAATCGGAATTCTGAGAATTATCCGTCAGCTAAAATGTAGCGAACCTAGAAAAATAGAAGTTGTGTAGATAATTTGAGTATATTATCAAGAGCAACGACAAGAAAAATACAGCGACTTCCTACTTCCTCCTAAGAGCTGCCAGGAGAGAGATGAAAACTTTGAGAAAGGTTAACACCTTGACCCTGCAGTCATCATCACACAGTGACCTTAATTTCTCTATTTGTTATATTTTTCTATAGATTAAATACAGTTCAGTACTATCCACACACACACACACATATATATATATATATATATATATATATATATATATATATATATATATATATATATATATATATATATATATATATATATATATATATATTTCATAAATCCACAATGAAAACGTGGATAAGATAAATCTTGATAAAATCACACGGGAAAATGGAAACAACGGAGTACCTTAGCTTTCGTCTTTATTCAAGACATCTTCAGAGGCAACTGGATTACATGGACAGAGAGAGGCTTAAATATACAGGGTGACCTAAAAACATGAGGTCAGGTCATAATGATGACATCTACTAATCCCCACACCAACACACACGTAGAGGAGCTTAAGAGAAGGGGGGTGACGTGACTAGTCAGGTCAGGACAAAAATAAGGGACCCACAAAATAACTATTATACATCTAGATCAAAGGTTTTCAAAGCATTTTTAACCTTGGGCCACTGACAAATAAATTTATGTAACATATTATCAGTTTTGAACCTTAGTGATGGTCAGTTCAAAACTGATAATATGTTACATAAATTTATTTGTCAGGGCACTTGGTGGTGGCAAAGTGTACATAGAAGAGGCAGCAGAGGAGGAATGGGCACTGTTTGGAGGGTCGTGCTATATCATTATGAGTTGGAGCCCATTCCATCCCGCTAGTACAGATAGTTGGAGCCCATTCCATCCCGCTAGTACAGATAGTTGGGGCCCATTCCACCCCGCTAGTACAGATAGTTGGAGCCCATTCCATCCCGCTAGTACAGATAGTTGGGGCCCATTCCATCCCGCTAGTACATATAGTTGGAGCCCATTCCATCCCGCTAGTACAGATAGTTGGGGCCCATTCCACCCCGCTAGTACAGATAGTTGGAGCCCATTCCACCCCGCTAGTACTGAAGGTAGCCCAGTATCCAGGTGAGAAGTTTACCTGTAAGGCCGAATGTGATAAGTTGATCTAGAATCAAGCTTCGGTTCGTGACGTCAATGAGGGCGATACAGCTCTCGGGCCGGGTGGTGGCCATGAGTTCTGCGAGGCAGTTGTGAGTGGATCGGCCCGGCACAAATCCATATACTGTAGGTTAGGAGAGAGACGGTCCCAGCTGTTGTTGAAGATGCGGGACAAAAGTATTCGTTCAAGAACCCTACAGGGGGGTAAGAGAGATTGACCGAAATTTTATCGTGCCTGGCTTTGGTTTGGGGATAATGGTGCTGTTGGTCCAGGCTGGCGGGAGTTCATCCTGAGCAAGACTTATGTTGTACAGATGAAGAAGGGGACTCCCGTGAACCTTTACGAGATGACGAGGGGTCCTATAGGGATTACCATCTTCTCCTGGCGCTGTTGTGGGGAACAGGTTGTTTGTTCGGACTCAGGATGGGATGGAGAAAGGAAACTCACAATGTGCTCTCTGTATACATGTTGTATTGGATGTACAATGCAGCTTGGTGCTGGGAAGTGGCAGCGTGGTTACAAGCGTGATGTAGAGAGAGCTGGTTGGTGAGGGTGCTCAGAGGAGGACAGCTTGTGGGTCGCCATGCTCGCCGGCGGGAGCGAGGACCGCCAGGCAGGCGGAGGAGGTGTTGCTGGCTGGTTGGTGTAGGTAGAAAGAGAGAGATCACCACGAGGTCAGGTCTTAAATGGCGGGGGTTGGCGTGGCTTAGTAGTTGTCCCCCGCTCCGTGGGCGGCGCTGGTTGACCTAGACCACGAGGCACACACTGGGGAATTCGTGGGGTCGGCTACGCAGCGACAAACAGCGTTTGTAGGGGAGAAATCCACTCCACTGTAACCTTCCCTCTGAGAAGGGCTTGTCATCTGGATGGCGCTCAGCACAGGCAATTTCCAGTGGAAATCCTCGGTTTATTAAGGTCTCTTTGAGGAAGCGTTGTGTTCTTATGGGTAGGGCCGTAACTCGAGATTAGACAGCCCAGGATTCCACCAGTTCTTCAGCATATTCCCGGGGGCTATGGTGGAGGGGAATGGCTTCTTTCCTTTTTCGTAATTATGTTGACTTTTTTCCAGATGTCAGCAGTAGAGGCGGAGTGATCAATGCTTGAGACAAATCGGTTCCAGTGATCTGAGCGGGCGCAGTCCTGGATATTCCCCAAATTCTTGAGAGTCAAGGCATTCGCTAAAGGTTGTTAGATCTCCACACCAATTATGATTTACTCTGCATTTATCTCTCAGCTATGATTGATTGTACCAAAGGAAAACGAAAATAAGTATAAAACAGAAATGCATTAACAATAATAAATTAAGAATAGTGACAGCATAATAAGGAGACCATACAAAATATGAATCATGACTGGTAGAGGTGGGGCCTGGTGTCACCTGGCGACTCGGGCCAACTGGACTTCATGTACACAAGGTTACACTGGAGGCCTCGTCCATCATCGAAGGTGTGAGCACTACAGGGTATGTTGAAAAGTTGCTGTTGTGGGCTAGTGGCACACAAATCCTAGCGAGGTAACACGCTGTACCAGGTAGCTAGGGCAGGTCACACTGCAGCAGCTCCGCCACTCCATTCATAGAAAGCTGAAGGATTGAACACGTCCTTAGTTTCGTACTAACTAAACTATTTACTCGTAACACCAGTTAAGTATGCCACTTCTTTGCTAAACACACTATACGTATACATATATATTAATCGTACTCACAGAGTGGACGAGTGTTAGCGGCGAGGCAGGTCCTGGCTAAGTGACGCGGCCTGCCTTGCCGGCCTCTCACAACAGCTCGTGTAAAATGAATCTTTAGTTTCGAAACATGCGAGTTTCGAAGTTAAGCAAGATGTGAAATAAGACGATAATTCATTCACAGTATTCATCTAGATTCTAGAGAACCTTGGGTGGGGTGCCGTCTGTAACTTGCCGCCTTGGTATCCACGATGACTCTAGCTTAACGTATGCGGTTGTCCAGGACCCAGGGGGTTCTTGGTCGAGCTGTTTGTTTGAGGTGGTCTCGGGATACAAATTGGGAGTAGAATTGTTTGATGGTGTCCGTCAAGCCACCAATGAACTGTATGACAGCACTGTGAGTCGTACGAACATTTCTACATAATGATCAGGCACAAGATAACGTGGCCGATGTATGGGGAGTGTGGCCTCCATGGCATCCCAAGACGAAACGGTTGATGGCGATGTGGTCTGAGATGAGATGAGGCCAAGTCTGGCAGTGCGACACGGTACGGTATTTTTTTTCCGTTTTTCGTACCTGCCAGAATACCCTACCGTAATTTAGTATCGAACCCTCAAAATTTTCCGTACTGCACAGTACAGTGAAAATATCGTATTGTAATTCCATACTTTTAAAGAAATGTATTTTCAAAATTGAGTCAACTAAATAACTCTACCTCCTTTGACTTTTGTAGACAGATGAGCACTAGAAATATGAGTATTCTATTTATAGGGCTATTAATTCTAACATTGGTAGTAATGCCCTTTTACTCTCAGTGAAACTTCCTAACAGTGTCAAGACCTGACTGAATTACTCAGAATAGGCAAACTGTAGTCCAAGCTTTGTCAATAAATTTGTTAAACTAAAACCCTCTGTGCACAAATACTCTCAAAATAACGCTGAGAACCGGGATTAACTCAGACCACCTTGTTGAGAAGATTCCCGTTTTCTGTTCTCTTAGTTAATAAGTTGCAGCTCCTGTAACACTAACTACAAGAGAAAATAACAAATTTATTTTTTATTTTGTTTAACTTGGTGTGTTGCTATTGTCTGAATCTTGTTGTTGTTGGTTTAGTTGCTGCGGTTTTGCTCTTTTGTTTTGTTTCCTATTTCTTTCCTCTTAGTAAGTTATACGTACAAGACTATATGTGTCGTGGCCAGTTATGGGGACGAGAGCATCGAGGAAGATATTTGTATACTGATCGAATATAGTACTTGAAAAATAATTGTAGTTTTACAGATGTATGATAATGTTAACACAGGACTGAGGAATATTGTTACTGTATGTCACACAAGCTTAT